TTAGAGCTTCTCTGTCTTCAGCGGAACGTGAGCGCATTCGAGCTCAAAAGAGTATCAATCGAAGTTCTCATACTCTGTCTGTTTGCCAGGATTCCAATTTACGTTTGCGAGCAGTTAACTGAAAAGCATAACTGAAAATGAAGACACAAGTTAACCTGTGTGGGTGGCGTTAAGAATGTGATTTCGTTTCTCGCCACTAAGAAACTCAAATCGGAGATCAACTGGGTCGATGGCCGGATCGATTCTGCTGGCTGCGGTGGAACCAACAATAAAATAACAATAGAATAACAGCGAAAGTTATAGTAACAGAAACACCGGGATGTGAAGGTTCACCTCAACCCTAGTGTATACACAGACAAGTAAGGAATAGCCCACTGGCACAGAAACGGCAGCAATAAAGCGTCCAGAGAAGTTGGCTAAGCGCCGATAGGCGCGTCAAAAGACCGAGCGCTCGGTATGGACGCAAGGATGGAATATCCATATGTGTGTGACGCAGAAGCACATGAGGTCAACGGTGCAGGCATCTCCACACTAGATCAGTTATGATTGTCTTGGTGCAAACCGAGAGATACTGGTCGCGGCTTCACAGCGAGTCTTTGCGGCAGCTCCAGAACCACCGAAGGTGTCGGAGTTCTTGTCTTCGAACGTTTTGGGGCTCTTTGGAGATCGAATACTTTAACGACAGAGTGATAACGATTCTAAATAGTTGATCTAGAACGCCAACCGTACCACAGTTTCTCTGCATACCTTCCACGAACTTTTGCTTTGAGCGAAAGAAAAAGCCTAGTTCGCTCGGTGAGAAGGCATCTGAACTACCGCTACAATAAGCCATGGTCGCCGCAGGTGACCTAAATGGGCACCTAGACATTACGAAAGGTGGTTCCGTTGTCAAAGTGAGTTTGGATACGATGGTGAGCACCATTGATGGTGAGCGAATCCTTGAGTACTCTAACCCACATGACCTCACCATTAAGAACACAATGTTTCGGAAACGTGACTCTCTTCTCATCTCCTTCCTTGCGGCAAAACCAGAACGAAAATAGACATTGTTCTCGTCAAACATCACAATAAGGGCTCTGACAGATGCAAAGCTCAACCGGAGGGGACGCAACACCAACCACTGATTAGCACGCACAGAATCGCTTCACCGAAACGGAAGTTGAAAGAAGTGGGCGTGCAAGAATCAAATGGAGGCGACTGAAGGAAAAGGAGACTGCTGTGATCCCTCGAATCCAGCTTCCGTCTGTGTATTGAGAAAACTCGGAAAGGTGCTACCGAAGCAATACCATCGGTTGATCGATTTGACGAATCGCATAAGCGCTCTGACTTTAGGTCGCGCCCAGAATCTGGCCCATCTGAGCATCCTCTTTTCAGCGGAGTGAGTTTGCCTGCACAATTTTTACTCACGGGCTAGCATTCGCTGCCATAGATCGAGCGTCCTGGAATACCGTCGATAGCAGACATATCAGTTGACGCCCTCTACTTCTTCCAGCCGTTTATTCGGGTTTTCACAGCTTCGTCCACGTTATCATCAACGGCGAGGTTACTTCCATGGTATGGGAAATTTTGTAAGATTTTGTAAGTTTTCCATAGCTTCCCCGAAACCGTCTGCGATTTTGGACCCTTCGGAGCTGAGAAACGTGGTCTTCATCACGTTCGGCCGGTGCCCCTTCTCCGCCAGATTTCTCTGCAATTTCTGCAGCTTGACCTAGAGTTTTTCGCTGTTTTCCGTTGTCAAGCGGAAAAGAATATGCCAGCGTAGAGAATGGTCTTCAGAGGTCTATAGAGTAGTCTGCTTGTGATGAGATCCAGAGTTAGTGAGAAGAAGACTTAGAACTGTTCTTTGACGATCTCCAACCGTAAAGTCTATTGCGTCGGTTAGGTCGTGTGCATTGCTGGCGTAGACCCATCGTATACGTCCTTGATCAGAGAAATCAGGTGTTCTGGAATGTTTCGCTGTCAGAGTGTAGAGCTCCGCTCTCCAAAATATAGTTAAACATATCAAAATTTTGCTCGATTTGCTCCAGTGAGAAAAAAGTTATGAACGAAGAAGCGCAAGAGCGTTTGGTTGAAGACTTTTGAGCGCTACTGTGCATACATATGAATGTGGGGGTGCCCAGATGCCTTGTTGTTGTGTATTGTACGAGTACAATTAAGCAACGGGATAAAAGAGCGCACCGCACCAACGGCAATACTTGGGCTATCTACTTGATTACACACTTAAAGGCTCAGTTCACCATAAGTTTGAAGTACCGCTTTTTGAGCTGAAAGGCGGAAATGTTGGTGTGGAACAGTAAACCGGAGGCGAGGAAAGCGAGAAAATCCGCCTATTAAAAACAAGGCTTTGAAAAGTAGTGGAAGTGGAGGTTGTACGAGATCACTATGACGGGAATGGCAAGTAAGGAGTGTTAGGACGATATTTCACAAGTTCCAATTGTGCAAAGAGCTGGATACATCAAGCCGAAATTGTACAAAACTGCCTTTCACTGTCGCCATTGGTTATGACAAGTTGTTTAAACTTCCTACATAGAAGTGCCTTCAGATAGTGCAGCCTCTACCAGAAGTTCGTCCACTGTGGGGGCGGCATACACAGGATACATACTTTGGCCCCTAATTGTGTCCTATTCAGCAGTTTTTTGAATCCCATTCTGAGCAACCCGTTTCGCTAACCTCACTGCTTCTTCATGGTAGACGTACCAGAACCAGGATTTCCTTCATTACCGTAAAAGTTGGGACGTTCTGCATGTAGCCAATGTCAGTCGGCTGATGCCAATATGCCATCAACTTTTTCGTCGATTTCTCTCGCAGCCATTTCCTTTTCCTCACAAGCCGTGATGTTGGGCTCATCGGACTTCCAGCCAAGTACATTACAGCCCTCTTAAGTCGGAACAGCGACTTGACGTGGAGCCAAGGAATAACGTTCTCTAGATCTAGTCGTGATCCCTCGCTCTACTCGGGCACCTCTATCCACAGTGGCCTACCTCAACCACAGCCCCGAAAGGTAACGCTTTCAGCAACCCATCTAACTCAAGATATTTATCTGAGAGCTTATAAATTACCGACTCCGGAGGTATAATAGTTTTTCTAGCGAACAGGCTTTCATTCCTTTTATAGGAGAACAACATTTGGACGATACCATTCATTTTCGCAAGCAGTTCCACCGTATCGCTGATCAATAAAAGGAAGGAAGCTATGCCGTTATGTTGCAAACATGTCCGCTTTACTCCGGAACAGCACAAATACATCATTAGACTGCCGTCTATGAAGGCATTCAGCACACCGGCTACGATTCGGGTGCGTCCCAGAAGCAGAAGAGGTTTCCTGCATGTCCAAGCAAATGACGCACAAATGTAGAAGAGGAGCTACTCACACAATTGGTCCCGCATCTCAATGCGGTAAAAGATGTTTCGCGCAGATGAATCTTCAAGGGAAAATCTGCATATGAACTAGAGGCAACGACTGAGTGGTAGGGTAAGGTGGTGGTTCCAAGCAGCATATTTTTTCAGATTGAAAAAATAATCATTTGAGCTCGTCCGAGCCATTCTTCTATTTTCTCTTTGTACAAATTTAGGTTGGCAAATAAGTCCTGCGACAAAATGGAGACCTTTTTTAAATCACTTCTAAATTTTTTCATATCAATCAATTTTTGTAAAAATATTTACTGAAGAAGTCAACAACCTTCTTTTATCCTCTGAGCCAATCACTGATGCCATTTCTTAGGAGTGAGGGAGCTGTGACTCAAAGAAGTAATTGACTACCGTTTTTGGATCACATTAAGTTACGAATTTCTTTTCCACAACGGGATGCCCAAGAAGGCGAAGCATATGGTAGCTGAAAGGGGCAACACTCTGGGAGTACGATCGATGAGTAACCTGAAACCAAGCGGGATCGTTGAACATTTGACGTGGGTTTAAAGCGAATTTTCGACGTGCGTTGTGCCTCTGTACGAACCTGATTTACGGTTTGATCGTCCTTCTCTAACCCCGTTGGCCTAATAAAGGGGATCAGAGGGGCAAGCGATAGCTGCGTCCATCTAGTCTGCGTTTTGCAACTCATAGTGGATGGATTCCTTCAACCTCTATTAAATTAAGGGACAATGCTTGCGTTACTCCGAAGGCTAGTATCTCCTGCAGTGAAGCGATCCAGGCCATTGTTGACCGTCGATCGGTGAGCAGTGCTAGCATCGAATAGATTGCTGATATTTCGAGCAGCTACCCCCGCGTTTTTCCCTTGACGTGCTTAGTAGAAGGTGTTGGTACGAATCGGGTGTTGTCCATTCACTGACCGTAATGCTGCAAAAGCCCACACGCGTGCCCTTATTTACTCATATGCTGATTGCCCGGGGAATGTCCTACAAGTTTATCACCCTTGCTACCGTGTTCACACCATTGATACAAATTTTCAACGCTTTGAATTTTTTGTCGCAGGACTTATTTGCCAACCTAATATCATTAACTTCTTAGAACCTCTATATTTCAATGCTTTATTGCAATCTTTGATTTGACTCTGTTTCCCGAGAAAGGTAGTTGATATGAGAAGAGTTTAAAGTATTCATTAACAAACAATGTCCGCCACTGAATTTCTTAATTTTAGCTTAAGTCCTATAACATTAATGCAACATACACATAGATCACAGTCAAGGCAAAGCTGGAAGACGGTGAATGCTAAGGAGCAAGCGAAATCCACCAACCCGTACCAAATATACAGTTCAAGAGCTAAGGGCAAGAATTTTCGCAATGGCAACTCCACTCACTTCAATAATCTTATAATTGCTACTGGGAGACATAGGAAAATTACAGAAATCCTAGAGGCCAGGTCATGAGTTAGAGAGAACAGTGCAGTGTCTCAAAAGACGTCTCTTGTGGCATTCACAAAGCTATTGTTGTTGAAATGAATATTGTGACACATATAAATGGCCTCCTCAGAAGGTAGTAAGTAAGCTAAAAATGATGCGTTGAAGTGAGCCTGATTTCTTGATTTTGAACTTTTGATGAGTCGCGTCACTGCGTAGGTAATGGATGCGAGCCGTCCATAATTGGCAAGGGGTGAGCCTCAGTGTTGAAAACCCATCGATCCAATGGAATTTTGTCAGAAAAGGTCAGATAGGCGTATTTCAAAGTCTCGGCAAGGAAGAAAGACTGCTGCACGTCGTCGCGACCCTAAAATCCTATTGTGAGCCCAAGTGCTCCAAGAATTTTATCTGTTATTATAGTACGCGATTTCGAATGCTACGCATGACAAATTTTCGTGATTCTAGAAACATTTTATGGAAAAAAAAAGTGTTATACCTGATATGGATTATAAACATTATCCAATCCTGTGAAGCCAGCTTCCACTCTACAGTACTTATCGATCGCTTCGATAGCATCCCACACCCAGTCGCGATACATCTGCAAAAGCTGCGCTATTCTGAAGAATTCCACTTGTTAGGAACAGCCAGCATGGGAATTGATCTTCACTCGCTTGGCCATTAAACATTGAAATGGAACGTGCGGATGAAAACTTCCTACATGGATTCGAACTTGATTTCAAATAACCTCTAGATAGCTTCTCATTATACGAAATACGAAAGCATTGCACAAATGATTTCCTCTGCTCTGCTCTTTTCTTGTACAAATTGATTCGACTTCGGATTCTGCTCAGTTCATTTGAGGTCTAAGCTATTTATTTATATGTATTTTATTATTTATTTAGGTGCGCTACCACAATTCCATGATCACATTATTTCAAGAAATTGCTGCCAAATAAGAGTAAAGTATGGTCTGAAAAAGAAGATATTAAATCAGGGGGTAGGAAAAAATGAACCAAGTCGAAGCGAAGCGTCTTGTAAATTCT